AGCCAGGCAGGGCAACAGTGGTGCTGGCCCTGTCCCAGCAGGAGCGATTCTCCATCCCTCCCACCCTTGCTGGCAGTGATCACCCCCTCTGGCCCCGTGCACTCACTGGAGCTGACCCATTGCTGGTCCCCCAGACACCACATCTGAAACAAACACCGCTGTGTCCCCGGTTGTCTTGTTGGGACGGTCACGGCCTCCAGAGACAGCAAATCCAAAGCCCCGGTGAGGGTCCTGGTGGGGGTGGGCAGAAGGGGGTCAGGCAGAGTTGACCCCACAGACCCCGTCCCCTCCCACAGTGGGGCCACCCCAGGAGACACTGACCTTGCTCAGTGTCACCGTGTGCTGCTCCCAGATCACCATCTCCTCCATGGTGGGCACCCACCAGCACAAGCTGGGCAGGGGCTCGGTGGCAGCCGCACGGCCGGGGGGCTCTGACCGGCTCCGGCTCCTCTTCGCAGCCGCCGGCCCCTTCCTCAACCCAACATCAGGCTGCAACACAGAGCAGCAGCAAAACTGAGCCATGAGCACCAGGGACTGTGAGGCTGCAGGGGACAGAGCCCCACGGTGCCAGGACACTGGGACTGGCAGCTGTGGCACACCCCAGCTAACCCTGCATGGCTCTGAACCCAGAGCTCTGTGCACCATGACATCCCCCCTGGGGATCCATCTCCATCCCCTCAGACATGAGTCCATGGCAGGGGGGGTTTTACACAGGGCAAGCACAGGACTCATCTCCATGGCTGGGACCCGCTGTCCATGCCATCCTCATGGTCTGACTCCCCTCTGTCCTCCTGGAGCTGGCAGGCCTTGGGGTGCTGCTCTGGATGGTGTTTTAGTGTCTGTCCACCCACTCTGGGCTTCAGCAGCTCTGACAACTGGTTTGGTAACACCACTGCCCCAGTTTCACCATTTGATTGCTCTGGGTTTTCCCCAAATCCAATGTTTTCCACCTGAGGCAAACAAGCCTGACAGAATAACGTCCCTTTGAGGCTGAAACTTCTGGGATGGGCCCAGGGATCTCCACCAGCTCCTGGTTCCCTGTAGGTAATGTCAGCATGAACCCAGAGAGACATGGTGGGAGACAGCACGACCAGAGCCTCCCCCCAGTTCCCGTGGGGTGGGACAGGGACAGGCCCCTTTGTTCAGGGCCTCACAGAATCACAAAATCATCAAAGCAGGAAGAGGCCTTCAAGATCATCAAATCCAGCTGTCACTCCAACACCACCATAATCTCCCCTAAGCCATGTCCCCAAGTGCCACATCCAGATGCCTCTTGAATGCTTCCAGGGATGATGACTCCAGCACCTCTCTGGACAACTTATTCCATTGCCTGACCACTCTTTCAGTGAAAAAAAAAATTGTCTAGTATCTAATCTGAATCTCCATTGGTGCAGTTTGAGGCCATTTCCTCTGGTCCTGACACTTGGCAGAAGAGGCTGATGCCCACCTCACTACAATCTCCTTTCGGGAGAGCAATGAAGTTCCCTGAGCACCCTTCTCCAAACTGCACACCCACAGTTCAAATGGCACCACATGGCCGTGATGTCTGTGGGCTCTGGAGTGCCTGTGCTCATTCCTAACAGCCTCTAACACAGCTCAGCCACCCTCAGCCCTGCCAGAGATGACTACATTGGTGCCACAGGGAGCTCAAAACCTCCACAGGCCCTTTGGGAATTGGCCAAGGGGCAGCTTTGGTGGGACAGAGACACCTCGTGGGCAATGCCAGGCTGGTGCCACATCAGGGATGTGGCAGTGGGCAGCCAGCCCTGGGCAAGTGAGACAGCACAGCCCTGACACCAGGACATCCCATGGGCAGCCCTGGCTGGAGCGGGGCTGAGGCAGCCGGGGCTGCCCCCAAAATGAGACCAGCCTGAAACGAGACCCAGCCCACTGCAGCCCAGGGAGGGCTGGGGGAGGCCTGGGGTAATCATTCACCCGACAGGCAGGTGAATGCTGCAGCCACGGGTGTGGAGGGCAGAGTCCCCTCTGCGTCACCAGCTGCCGAAACCAGCCCGAGTGCCTCCCTGCCACCCAGGGACACGTGGGACCAGGGGTAGCTGGGACTGGGCAGGACCCCAGTGTGGCAGCACCCACTGTCTGGCACTGGGAAAGCTGATAATGAACAGGAACTCCCAGAGTGGCATTGGGGTGGCTTCAGCTGTGTCACCAGTGTTGTTTGTGCTCCGTGGACACCTACAGGTCACACGGTGTGAGCTATAGGTCCAAGAGAGACCAACCTGGAGCAGCCAGATCATCCCCCTCCCTAGGGTGGTGACATCTGCTGGGCTAGAGCTACCCCTGATGCCACCCAATACAGCCCCTCACTGTCCCCACCTGGCTCCCACTACTGTCCCACCACCGTGGTGCCACAAACTGGGCACAAACTTGCGTTCCACTGCTGCCCGTTGCTCTCTCCAGGCAGTGGCTGGAGCAGAATGGCGATGGCAGCAGCTCCAGTGGCACAGGCAGCGTGCCTACGGTGCCACCAAGCCCTGTCCCTGTCCCCAGTCTCCCCTCAAGACCTGGCGTAGGGCCTGCACCTGCCAAAGGCCGAGGCTGGCAGCAGGAGGAGCCGGCTGAGCCGGTTTCCGACAGAAACCAGCGCGCAGCTGGAATGGCCCCGCAGGGAGAGGCAGTATCTGGGCAGAGCTGACCGCGACACACCCAGCACCGGACACCGGCAGCGCTGGGAGCCCCACACCGCCCCACACACGGACCGTGGCACCACTCCCCAGATGTCTGAAGCCAAACAAAGCCAAGCTGTGCTGGGGCAGCTCAACCCACGGCCAGGTCCCCAGTTCGGGGCTGTGCCTGGCCCCGGGTGACGCCCCCAACAACGCCCGCCATGGGGACAGCAACGAGTCGGGGGGTCCTTTATCGGGAAGTGACACACACAGCCCGCCCCAGCCGTGCACACAGCCAACCCCATCACCCAAAATGTTTCCCAACCCCCCTCCCCTGATAGAGCTCCTCATCCTGAGAACCTCAAAGCCTTCCTGGGATCAGCAAGGTACCTGCTCTCAGCCAGGGCTGCAAAACCACTCGTCCCTTGTCTGGTCCTGGCCATGCAGCACTGAGGTCCCGGATCCCTCCAGGGGCTGCTCTGTCCCAACCCTACCCAAAGAGCGATGGGCTGATCCCGACCCCCTGCCCTGGGAAAGGTCTCTGGAAGGGCTGCCCCGGACCGAGTGTAAACCGGCAGCAGAGCGGCACGTCCTGCAGCCCTGGGGCGGGGAGCTCCGATCCTCCGGGTATCTCCGTGCTGTGGGGCAGAGCCCCAGGACGGTCACTAGGTCCTGGAGCCAGCCAGGGAGGGACAAAGCACGGCCAGTTCCCCAGGTGAAAGCACAGCTGAAAGCCAGAAAGCAGGGCTGACAGATCCCGCGGGACAGAATTAGGCACTCACCGAGCCTGGGATCCGACCAGGAAGGAGCTGAGCTCCCGGGCTGGTGGCAGTGGTGTCACTCCAGGGTGCCTTGCGTAACCCTTTGTGGCCCAGACTCTGCCTGCAGCGGGGAAGGAGCAGGAAGGGGGTTCCGGGGGCAGCTTCCCGAGCACAGCAGGTCTCCAGGAGGGCTGTCCCTGGTGTCCTCCACCGTGATGGTGGCTCAGCCACCTGCACTCATCGCCGTCCCAGCGCTGCACCGGGACAGGCTAACAGGATGCTGGCGGTGCTTGCAGACAGGGGTTCCTCTGCCCCAGTCCTCGTCCAGTCCAGGGAAGCGGTGGGACTCTGTCCCAGACTCCCAAACCCTCCCAGCGTTACCCATCGTCCCATGAGGGGACAGACACGGGGGTCAGCCTTGATATCCCTGTCCTGGGAAGTGTGGGGGAAGCTGGTGATGGCTGCTGCCCCCTCTCCTCCCCTTCCCTTGCCCCTGTCCGCACCTGAGGACCAGGCCCCCGTCATCCCTCGTCCCACGGGGCCGCTTTCCGGCGCTGACAGCGATCAGGTCCACGTCGCGCTTCTCCGCCTCCCGCCGGGGCCGGTACCGCTCCCAGCCCAGCGCCGAAGCGGCGTGGGGGGACCATTTTCTGCGGAAGCCCCCGGCCCGCAGCCGCCAGCCCGGAGCCGGAGCCATGCCGCCGCCAGCCCCTCCGCTCGCTGCTCGGCACCGGCTGCTCCCGCCCGAGCCCCGCGGGGAGCCTGGAGCGGCTCCCGCCGCTCCCCAGGACCAGCCACAGTCGGGAGCCCCTCTGGCAGGGCCCGGCGCCGCCAAGCAGCCTCATTAGTGATGGTGGCCTCGGCGTTGCCTCCCAGCAGCGGCTCCCCATGCGGGGCACGCGTGGCCCCGGGGCTCCGAGAACTGGCGGGGCCGGCCCGGGCTGACCCGCGCCCCGGGGCTGACCCGGGCCGGGTGGCGCCACTAGATGGTGCCGCGGGGCCGGGAGGAACCGGGCCCCGGCTTGGGCTAGGAATCGGCGGCGCTGAACGGCGCCGGAGCCGCGCAGGGAGGAGGGAGCGTGTCCGGGTCCCGGTGCACGGCAGGCCCGGTCCAGCCCGAGGTTGTCCGGCTACCGGGAGCTCTCGGAGACGACTGGGGGCGGAGCGAGGGGCGAGAAGGCACCACTCGGCACCGGGAAGCTCGCGGAGAGCCCCGGTCCGGCCGGGGCAGCGCGGTGGGAACCGAACCGGGACGGGACGGCGGGCGCGGGCTCCGCCCGTAGGGCGGGACACGCCCCCGCCTGGGCCCCGCCCTTCCGCCTGGGCCCCGCCTCTCCGCCTGGGCCACGCCCCTCCGCCTGGGCCACGCCCCTCCGCCTGGGCCACGCCCCTCCGCCTGGGCCACGCCCCCGCTGCCATGGGCACCCACAGGCCATGCCCCCGCTGCCATGGCGACCGGCAGACTCCCCGCCCCCGGGAGTGCCGCCTCCACTGCCATAGCAACTGGCAGGCAGGCCCCGCCCCCGTGGAGCCCCGCCCCGGTGCCATGGTGACCGCAGGCCCCGCCCTCCGACCCTGTGGTGTTTCCCCCTCCACCGGAGGTATCGCGGCTGCCGCACCGTGAGGGATCGGCGGGAGTTGCTGTGGCCTCTCTTGTCCCTCCCCGCCCCTGTCGAATCCCACAGCCCGCCGGTTATCGCGACAGCCCTCCGCCGCATCGCAATTAACTCCGGCGGAAAAGCCCTGCTGTGCTTCCGGCACTGTTCGGGGCGTGTCTGGCCGCGGCGCCACCCGCGTTCTATGGTCCGCGGCGCTCCCAGGGTCCCCCGCGCCGCGGCCGGTACCCGGGAGGAGAGCGGCGGCGGGCGCTGGCCTGTCCGGGGCCTGTCTTGCCCCGGGGCTGCGCCTGCCCGCGGCCGCCATGGAGCTGGAGGTGCCTGAGGAGGCGGAGGGCTCGGCCGCGGCGAGTGCCGGTGCCATCACTCCGGAGGCCGGCGTAGGGGGACCGGACGCGTCAGGAGGTAACGCGCCGCGAGCACCGGGGGCCGTCCCTGGCTGTCCCCCATCCGGCCGGGCCCCGGCGTGTCCCCGTGTCCCGCCGGCCCGCAGTGGTTCAGCCCAGCCGTAACCCCGGCCGGGCCCCCCCGCGGGGCGCTCGGAGTGGTTCGGTCCAGCCCGCCCCCCCTACCCGGAGTGAGCCCCCCCCTCCCCCCCCCGACACCGCGTGGTCCCGTCCAACTGCTGCTTCCCTTCCCCCCTTCTCCCCCGGCCCCGGGTTGGTTCCGCCCCGGCAGGGACACCGGGGGACACCGGCATGGGGCTCCCCCGTCTCTGTCCTCGGCAGTCTCGGGGCTGCGAGGGGCAGCGGCGACGCCCGGACTACCGCGCGAGGCACAGGCCGCCCACCTCGGGCACTACTCCCGGAACCGGCCCCGGCTGGGCCTGGAAGGCCGTGTTGGGGCCGTCCTGTCCCCTCCCCTCTCGGGGGTCGCTCCCCGGAGATCACAGGGTCGGGGGGGCAGGCAGGCCCTGGCAGCGGGGGCGGGGGGCTTTGTCGCCGGCCGGGTCCCTCCCGCCGGAGGGGGCCCGTTTGTCAGGGCTCAGCCCGGCAGCGGCATTAGCAGAAGGTTTGGGGTTCCTGAGTGGCCGGATGGATCCATGGGGCTGCGCCTGTGCACCTGCCCCCGCCTCCATCGCTGCCTAATTATTTCTAGTTCATTAACAGCCTCAGGATTGCTGGCTGAGCCGTGCTCGTGATGTTCAGCCCTGCTGCTGCCGGGCTGACACGTTCCTGCGCAGGCCCGACGCGGAGCTCCAGGCACCTGCCGGAGTCCGGGCTGCTCAGAGGGCTTGGCTGTGTGATGGCAGTGATCTCCGTGTCGTCAGGCCTTTAAATGAGCATCATTAGATCTTCTGAGAAGCAGCTAATTACAGTGGAAACCGTGCTCGTTTCGCAGATGCCATCTGCCCTGCTGAGGCTGTGGGTGTAGTGTGTAACTTTGGGTAAGGTGCTGAGGTCTGGGCTGGGGGAAGCTGCCCCAGCCGTCCTGTTGTGGTTCCTCGGTGCTGCAAAGAAATGCAGGGGCTGGCAGCCTGCAGCCTGCCTTCCCGAGGCTGCTTGCTGTGCTCCCACACACCCTTGGACACATTTTTGGGAGTGTTCTCCAGCACGGGCAGGGGTGGCAGGTGATGCCAAAGGAGTGAGAGAGAACCTCTTGCTGCTCACTCACAGAACAGTTTGGTCTGGAAGGGACCTTAAAGCCCATCTTGTTCCATCCTTCTGCATGGGGAGGGAGACACCAATGAACAACTAAAACACAGTTTGTCCTTCTGATTTCGCTGTCATATATCTGGTTTATCGAGAGGATAGGGGGTTGTTGCTCGGGACTAGGCAAAGTGTTTATGGAGACTGTTGCTCGGGAAGGGTTTAAGCAGGGAGAGTGTATTTATCTTCTTCCATGAGCAAGTAAATCTGAATTTATGAACCTGTGGGCTGTCTTACCTCTACGGTGATAGTAAAAAAGATGAAATGGAGCCAGTAATCTCACCAATGCTTTGATTTCTCAAGTCAAGTTGCTTACTCCTCACTTGGGTAGCGTCCAAATTGTGTCACTTGGCCTCAGCTGCTCCTGCAGCTGGAGCTCCCGGGGGGCTGGGGACAATGTGCACAACAGCGAAGGAGTTTTTGCTGGAGAAGAGAAACCCTGGGGGATGGAGGTGGCCTTTGGTGGGCTGTGGGAGGGCATGGCTGCACCCACACAGGGTAGGCTGTGCTGTGGGTCTGGGCTTGTCACTGTGCTCCATGGTCTAAACTGGGTGACAGATCCCCATAGCACTGGTGCCTGTGCTGCTGTGTGGAGGTGTTGAAGTGCCCATGGCCCACCTACACGGGTGCTTTGTGCTGCTCCTCTTGTGCTCACTGCTCTGCATGTGCTGTTGATGAAGGGTCACCAGCATGGCTGAAACCTGGCAGGAGAGGAGGCATCTGGGTGCTGTGCTCTGCCTGAACAACATGGCAGGGTTAATCCAGACTGGGTCAGGCCAGCAAACACCTTCCCCAAACCCCCAGTAATTACAGAAAAATTACAGTTAGTCTGGTACAGGAGTAAAACTGCCTGGAGAAGGGCTGGAAGTCAGGGAGGCCTTGGCAGTAGGTTGACTTAAGGTACAGAGTATTCTGAAGGGAACTTTTGGAAATGTCATGCTTTGAGGGAGAAAACCTCACTTATTGCTAGCAGCAGGGCTCATTCATGAAGATACAGGCCCAATTCGTTCATTCCTGAGACCTTGGCTTCAAAGTTTTTAAAAGTTTTGTGACCAGCTAGTTGAAAGGGAGTTTTAAAATCTAATGGATGCAGATGCTTGCTGTGCCTTCTCCCTGAATCTGTACCCTCATGCCCTGGGGAGGGACTCCAGGGAGTAAAAGAGGCTGCTCCAGGGTTCTGATGAGCTGTGGGCAAGAGCAGAGGTGGTGTGGGGAGGTATGGTGCTGTGGGGTGACAGCTGAGTACTAGGCTTGTTTAGGCTGGGGTGCCCTGATCCCAGGGATGGTTGGGTAAGCAAAGGGTGCATCACCATTCCTCTAGCCAGGTGCAGTCTGGAGACACAGGGTCTGGAAACCTTTTATTGAAGGGTGGTTGGGTTATGGGAGAGCTGTTACTGCAAAAGAACTGGCACCATCCAAGTGTTGGACAGCAGAACTGGCCTCCAAAGTGGGAATTCTCAGTGGGGAAGTAGAGTTGACTTGAAGTTGGATTTATTTCCATTGGTCAGGTCTCCTATTGCACTGGCTTCAGTCTGCCCATCACTTCTGGTCCAGAGCTGGAGCAGAAGCCTCCAATGTGTTCTTCTAGGTTGGATTCTAATGCTTTAGGGAACTGAAATGATTTAACAAGGATTCATAGTTGTGTTGGACAACTGTCTTGCTGTACCTCAGGCTGAAGGAGCACAGTGAAGATGCCAGCCCCTGCCAGGGGAGAGCCAGGTGTGCTGTGTGCTGGTGGCACCTGTGTGGCTGTCTCCAAAGCACTGCAGAGCGTTGATTGCAACAGCCCAGGAACAGGATTGCAGCTCTTCCCTCTTAGCAGTGATAACTTTGAAGTGACTTTTGAAGGGTTGCTGGAAGCAATTTTTTCAGTGAGCAGATTAGAGATAAGAGAAGAATTCCACCCTGTGGGGCATAAGCAGTTCAATTCATACCAACTCGATGGAGAGGGGAAATTGAAGAGAGCTTATCAGCTTGAGGAAAAATCAAATGTAAACATCATCCCCAGCATGATTATGGTTCACAGCTTAGTTGGATGTCACATGCCTCTGTGGCGTGAAATGGTGCTGGCGAGGATGATTACAGAGGGAGTCAGCCAGGCAGGAACAGGCAGAAAAACACCCTGTGCCTTGAACTCTTAAAGACCCTGCAGTCACTTCACAGTCAATAAGTCACAGCTCAGCTGCAGGGAAGGAGGAAGGCAATGAAAATAGAATTCAGGCTGCTCTGGCAAATTAATTGTTCTTTAAGATATGAATCGGCTGGAAGCACGTAGGGAAGCTGGGATGGTGGAGCCTGGGCGCTGGGAAGGGCAGTGTGCACAGCAGGCAGATGTGGGCACTGCCCTAAGGATGCTGAGCCTGCCTGTATCGGTGTCAGGGCAGGCTGCAGAATGAGTTTCTGAGAACACACAGGATGGGGAATGATTATTCTCATTTTCATTAACCAGCACTTGGCATTGACCTGTATATAACAGCCTATTCCACCACTGCTGGGCAGAGCTGCCACTGCCCCGTCCCACTCGGGGGGCACATGGGCCTCTCTGGAAGGGCTCCTCAGGGAGTGACCTGAGTGGATTCAGTATGAACAGTATATATAATTTGGGAACTATTATTGAAGTGATTCACTGACATGACCATTATGGGCTCTCGCCAGATGCACAATCGTAAGAAATATGGTGTTCCCATATAAGGTGGTTATAGCCTGAAAGGCAGCAGCAGGAATTCCAGCACTCTCTTCCTTCATGGACACATCTTTCAGTTAGCACCAGTTGACTCCAGAAATAGTCCTGCCATGGCTGTGTGATACTCTGATAAAGACTTGAGAGGTCTTCTCATCACTTGCTGCTTCAGCTTTGTCAGTGTTTGATTATTCCCATCCATCCCCTTGGGCTGCCAAGCTTATTCCCATGTACCATAATTAATCTCTAGAAGCCTGGCAGGTTCCTCACTCCTGACATGGATGCAGAACCATGTGGTTGCTGGGACCTGCTGGTATGAGATCTGTTCATGCGCATGTGGGAGCTGCAGGTGCTATGTGGGGTCACTAACTTGTGACTCAAAAAGCAGAAATCACTGCACCTTTTGCACTGCACTGGGGAATGTCAGAAGCAGAGTGGGAGAGGGAAATATTTGCTAATCCCAGTGCAAGGAGGGTTGCCTTTGTTTAGGTGGAATTGAACGCTCAATGCTCCCATCCACAGCATGGGGAAGGAGCTGCTGGCCATGTCACTGGCATGAGGTCCTCCCTCTGGAATCCTGGCTGCAGGAAAGTGGGAGCCAAAGCAGGTCCTGCCTTCCCCAGATGGTCTGATCCCATGGATACACTCTCACAGATCTCCCCTGGATCCCAGGGAAGACAGTGGGAGCAGCAGGTACTGGAGTAGGCTGCCAGTTTTGGGACACACTCTCTGGTTTAACACAGAGGCCTTGGAACCTCCTTTTCCCCAAGATGTTTATGTTGAGAGAGAAGTGACTCAGAATGTTTGAATCACAGAATGAAAGAATAGTTTGGGTGGGAAGGGACCATTTCATTCCAACTCTCTACTGTGGGCAGGGACACCTTCCAGTAGACCAGGGTGCTCCAAGCTCCATCCAGATTGGCCTTGAAGCTCATAAATAGCAGCAGAACAGCAGGTGGCAAGGTGGGGTATTTCCTTTCCCATTAAGTCTTTCCAAGTCTCTAACCAAGATCTCTGATAGTCCCCTTTGATTTGTTTAATAACCCAGTGACAGTGTTACTGTTCTTCACCCATCT